CGGCAGCTGGAGGAGTCTCTAAAAACACACCTCTTAGCATGCCATCGTACTGTTTAAACTCTGTCCGTGGTTTCCCAAGACCTTCAAATATTGATGTTCTAACTCCTCAGAACAGTGGACAAGCAATAGCCTGGCCTGTCCAGCTTTCTCCCTCCGCCCCTCACCCTCCCGCTGTCCTGGAGCCACCTGGACGCAGCAGCCCGTGTCCCTCCTCGCAGCCCACCCCACACAGACCGCCGTGCTGGCCACACCCCCACTCGAATCATGTTGCTTCTCCACTCACCAAAGCCACCCCGAGTGCCCAGCACACACCGGGCAGGGCTGTGGGAGACTGGAGTGATGGCCCCATGTGCACGCCGGCTGGGGCGGAAGGAGGTCTGCAGCTGTGAGCACGCGGAGGGAGCGTGTTCCCGTGTTCTTGTGGATTAGTTCCTGCATTGTTTTCCAGATGAACTGTAAACCTACTTTTGCCCCACTCTATGTCAAAACTCCTCGATCACAGTGTACCCTTCACACTTTGCCATCTCCTGCATGTTATTCATATTTGCAGGTTTTTTGTTTTTGTTTTTTTAAAGCCTACACAACACCAAGGGAGCATTTCGTAGCTGTCAGGTTCATTAAAACACCCAGATCTGACCAGACGTTTCATTAGAAAGGTGATAGGGAGGTGGGGACTCCCCATTGCTGGTGGAAGTGCAAGGTGGTCAGCCAGAGAGGACAGGCACGTCTAGCAAAACTGCAGAGCATCCGACCCCTGACCCGACAACGTGGCTCCGAGAACTCAGCCTGCAGATGCACCTGCAGATACGCCTGCACATGAAAACGCGGTGCAACGCTACAGGCTGAGTGTGGCTGGCGGCAGGCCCTCCCCATGCAAGTCAATAAGCCAGGCGGCCTCCCCGGGGACTTCCCCACGCAGCATGCGTGGCAGCGGGAAGCTCACTACATGAGCTGGGAGAAATCTCCCAGGATGCACTGGTAATGAAAAGGAAGCGTGACGCTCAGTAGCACACGGGGTCACTCACTACTTTGTGTTTAAAAAGGGAAATATAAAAATACGTGGTGGGCCCGGCCGGCGTGGCTCAGTGGTTGAGCATCGACCTATGAACCAGGAGGTCAATTACCGCTCAGGGCACAGGCCCGGGTTGCGGGCTCCATCCCCAGTGGGAGGCGTGCAGGAGGCAGCCGATCCATCTTTCTCCCTCATCATGGATGGTTCTCTCTCTCCCTCTCCCTTCTTCTCTCTGAAGTCAATAAAATAAAAATTTTTAAGAAGATTTTCAAAAATAAATAATTACAAATAAAAAGAGCGTTGGCTGCCGTGTGGAGAGTCGAGAAGAGAAAATCAGGAGATGGGCTAGGAGTTTGGTGCAAAAATACAGGAAGGAGAGGAAGCCGGTGTGGATGGAGGTGGAGCGCAAAGCAGCCGGCCGGTACGGAGCAGGTTTGGAGGGGACACCCCAGGGCTGGTCCCACTGACTGTCTGCTTGAGCCCCAGGTGCGTGGGCCAGGAGCCTTCGCTGCGACCAGCAGACTGCATTCAAGGAGAATGTGTCCATGTGAGCTGGCTGTGAGGATGGTATTAACTTAGGACATGGCCCATGCAAAGAAGGACCATTTAAAGCCGCCACTTACGTGCCCGCTTCAGCAGCACATATGCTAAAGCCGCCACTTATGCTGGTGAAAAGCCAGCCCTGAGCGAGTGAGCGTGGCCGGGCTGCGGGCGGGAACGGAGGCGCCGGGTCCCAGGAGCTGGCCGAGGTCTACGTCGGACGTGCTTTGTGTGAAATCTAATCTCCGAGGAATTATTCTGTGAGTTTCACAACGTGGCCTCGGGCTGGCCCTACCAGCGGCTGCACAGAGTGGCCGGCCAGCATTCCTTCCCTCCCTGCCCGCCAACCTGCCTTCTGGTTTGGTGAGCGCGGCTGGGAGGCACGGGAGGGGTTGGGACCTACGGCAGCGCCTGGGGGTGGTGAAGGCCGGGCAGGGGCAGGCCGGCTGGGAGGAGCTCAGTGCCCAGTGCCCAGGGCCCAGGGCCTGCGGCGAGGACAGGAGGGAAGTGGCCGACCCAGTGAAGCCTGCTGGGCGCCAGCGTGACTAACTCTGTGAGCTGCGTGCGCTCACCGGGGCGCCACGTGCGGCTGCTCATCCTCGCGCAGGTGCCACGAGGAAACCGAAACAGAAAGCACCTGACAGCGCCCGGCGCCCAAGGGGTGAGCGAGGACTGGCAGTTACAACCTCGAGACAGAAAACTCGTCTGGCCGGCGTGGCTCAGGGGTTGAGCATCAACTGATGAGCCAGGAGGTCAGGGTTCGATTCCTGGCTGGGGCAAGGCCCGGGTTTCGGGCTCGATTCCCGTGAGGGGCGGGCAGGAGGCAGACGATCGTGATTCTCTCTCATCATGGATGTTTCTCTCTCTCTCTCTCTCTCTCTCTCTCTCTCTCCCTCCCTCCCCCTTCCTCTCTGAAAGCAATTAAAAAAAAAGACAGAAAACAGTAAAAACAGAGGCCAGAGCACAGCATTTGTCAACCCTTGATGGAGGGATGCCTGTCGCAGAGCATGACTCAGCCCTCAGCCGGGAGTGACCGCGAGGAGCTCACGTATAAAAACAGGGGCGCGGCAGACACGAAAATCCTTGACCTGTCACTCCAGCAGGTGTCAACTCGACACAACGGAGCTGAGCCGGGAAAAGACACCGTCCCGGGGACCAGAACACGGAGGAAAAGCAGCACCGAATCAGGTCCAAGAAAACCTCCAGTTCCCGAGGCAGAATCGGCGCTTACTTCATTCTCCAACAGCAAAGCAATAGAATTAGAAATGAAACAGAAAACAGCGTCCAGGAAAACGGAAGCAGTCAGAGGCAGGGGGGCACAGGCGGACAGGCGTCCATGGGTGAGTGGGTGAACCTGGATCCAGGGTGCGTTCCCCTC